GAAGGGGGAGATGAGGAAAGAGGGTGGGGGAGAAGGAGAGAGAGAGGGAGAGGAGAGGGAGAGTGCGGAGGGCAGAGAAGGAGAAAGAAGGCAGGACGTGGTAGAGATAAGGAGAGAATATGAGAGAGAGGACGGGCGGGAGAAGAAAGAGAGGACGAGAGACGCCGCAGAGAGAGAGAAATGGGAACTGCGGGGAAGATAGGGAGAGGAGAGGGAGTATAAGGGCGGGGAGAGGAGAGAGAGGAGAGCCAGAGGAGAACGGGGCGTATGAGAATGAAGAGAAGAAGAGAGGAGAGGACAGCGAAGACAAAGAGAGTGGGGGAGACGAGAACGAGAAAGACGAGAATAAATATCGATAAGAGATCGAGACAAACAGAAAATGAGTGAAAGAAAAAGTGAAAGATGGAAAAAACAAAAGAAAGAAACACAGATAATGAAGAAGAACAGGTAAGCAGACACACGAAGACAATAAGTAAAAAAGAGAAAGCTAAAGAATGTAAAATAGCAAGAAAACAGGCTAGACATTACTGTGAGAGAAGCAGATGACGAATAAGAAAGAAGAAGAAGAAAAAAAAGAAAAAGAAGAAAAAATAACAGCTTAAATTAACAAGGCAATAAAAATGAACACTTTCGGACATAAAGTGTATATTTGGTAAAAGTTTATAGATTTATAGTTACTTGGTAAACGTAAAGTGCAAAGTAAAATGAGATTTTGGCGCCATTTTAAACCGGTCTTTTACATGAACAAGAAATTCTATCGTTCTTTTTTATTCTAATTTCCATTTTTCTTCTTTGCCCTTTATTTTGTTTATTCATTTTCCAGTGTTAATTATTTCCTCTCTTTTTCCTTTTTACCTGCATGTACTTATATATATTTTATCATAATTCTTCTATTCGTCTGCATGTTTCTGATTACAATTACATCTTTTTAACTAATTTCTCTTCTTTTTCCTGTCTTCATTCCCTTTTTAAACACATAAATGCAACCAAAAATACAAACACACACAAATTAAACCATGCAGAACAAAATAAATATTATATTATAGATGACTATAGCAAAACAAAAGAAATATTGTATAATAAATGAATGCAGCAAAAAAAAGAAATATGTATTGATAGATAAATGCTAGCTAATAATAGATAAATTTAGCAAAATAAACAAAAGGAATATTATATTATTAGAGACTGTAGCAAAAAAAAAAAAAAAAAAAAAAAAAAAAAAAGAAATATTGTATAATAAATGAATGTAGCAAAAAAAAAAAAAAAAGATTCATTATAGATTAATTTAGCAAAACAAAAGGAATATTATATCATAGATAAATTTAGCAAAACAAAAGGAATATTATATCATAGATAAATTTAGCAAACAAAGAATATTATATACAGATGACTTGTACCAGAACAAAAGGAGTATTGTATTATAGATGAAGGTAGATACATCGCCGAGGCTGTAACATGACCAGGCAAGATAAGCGAGATAACGTCAGGAGTGTAATGAGTGATAATGACTGACGGAATTAGATAATGAAATTTACATGTAAGGGAGAGGAGGGAGAAAAGGATAGGGGAGGTGTGAGAGAGAGGGAGGGAAGGAGGAGGGAGAGAGGAGAGTGAGAGAAGAGGGAGAGGAGGAGCAGTGAGGGAGAGAGGAGGGAGAGAGGAGGGAGAGTGGAGAGAAAAAGAGGAGGTTGTGATGGTGTTTGTATGTTGGAGTTTGTATTAGTATCGGTTCTAAGAGCTCTGTTTGCATCCATTAATGAATCAATAAATGAAATGATAGGTAAAAATGTGTGTGAGCTATATATGTATATATATAGATAGATATAGAAGGTAGTTATATATATATATATATATATATATATATATATATATATAATATATATACATATATATATATATATTATATAATATATTAAATATATATATATATATATATATATTATACATCATATATCATATCTATCTATCAATCTATCTATCTATCTTCTATCTATCTATCTATCTATCTGCATCTATCGTATCTATATAAGTATATATATATATATAATATATATATATATATATATATATATATATATATATATATATATATATATATATATATAAACGAGTAAAGGACGGACTCCAAGTCAATGGTGTAAGAGAAAGTAAGGAAGAGAGAGAAGTAATCAGACAAAGACAAATAGAGGAGAAAGGAAGCAGAGGAGAAGGAGATAGATAATAAATGAAAGCAAACGGGGGGAAAAAAAGGCCGCGAAGATAACGTAGACGAAAGTGAAAGTTAAGAAGATGGAAGGCGGGACATAAGAATCTTGATGGTAAATGTTGTTCCACTCTCGATGTCTTTTGTGTTGTACCAAGGATACGACGACGCATTCTCTCGTGTTTCTTTATGCGGTGGTTTATCATGTCTGCTCTGGTTCCTTTTTATCATTTCTTTATTCCCCTTTTTTAAATTCTTATACGATGTTCTCCATTATCATTCTGCTCTGGTTCTTTTTATTCCTTTTTTTATTTCTTTCTTATACGATGTTCTCTCGTGTCTCTTTATGCGGTGGTTTATCTCGAGTTTTGCTCTGGTTCCTTTTTATCATTTCTTTATTCCTTATACGATATCATTTCTGCTCTGGTTCCTTTTTTTCATTTCTTTATTCCTCTTCTTTATTCCTCATACGATGTTCTCTCGTGTCTCTTTATGCGGTGGTTTATCATTTCTGCTCTGGTTCCTTTTTCCACTCCTTTATTCCTCTTCTTTATTCCTTATGCGATGTTCTCTCGTGTCTCTTTATGCGGTGGTTTATCTCTTCTGCTCTGGTTCCTTTTTATCATTTCTTTGTTCCACTTCTTTATTCCTTATACGATGTTCTCTCGTGTCTCTTTATGCGGTGGTTTATCTTAGATTCTGCTCTGGTTCCTTTTTTTCATTGCTTTATTCCTTATGCGATGTTCTCTCGTGTCTCTTTATGCGGTGGTTTATCTCTTCTGCTCTGGTTCCTTTTTTATCATCTCTTTATTCCTCTTTTTTATTCCTTATACGATGTTCTCTCGTGTCTCTTCGTGCGGTGGTTTATCTTAGGTTCTGCTCTGGTTCCTTTTTATCATTGCTTTGTTCCTCTTCTTTATTCCTTATGCGATGTTCTCCATTATCATTTCTGCTCTGGTTCCTTTTTTTCATTTCTTTGTTCCTCTTCTTTATTCCTTATGCGATGTTCTCTCGTGCCTCTTTATGCGGTGGTTTATCATTTCTGCTCTGGTTCTTTTTTATTATTTCTTTATTCCTTATGCGATATCATTTCTGCTCTGGTTCCTTTTTCCACTTCTTTATTCCTCTTTTTTATTCCTTATACGATGTTCTCTCGTGTCTCTTCGTGCGGTGGTTTATCTCGAGTTCTGCTCTGGTTCCTTTTTATCATTTCTTTATTCCTCGTCTTTATTCCTTATGCGATGTTCTCTCGTGTCTCTTTATGCGGTGGTTTATCTCGAGTTCTGCTCTGGTTCCTTTTTTTCACATTCCTTTATTCCTTATTTGGTGTATCTTGTTCTTCTTTTTGTTTGTTTGTATTTATTTGTGTATTTAATTCATTTTGTCATTGTTACCTAGATTAAGGGATATACACACTCACACACACACTCATACACACACACACTCATACACACACCTATACAGCACATTACAACGTACACACACACATACTCATCACACACACACACGCACACACACACAACACCACACACCACACACCACACACACACACACACTACACAAAACACACACAACAAACAACACACACACATTGCGCCTACACACGCACACAACACACACCGCACATACAACACCACCATGCAACACACACTTACACAGTGAGTAAAAGAGAGGCTTGGGATGGAATGCACGAGTATGAGTATAAAAAATCAGAGGGAGAGAGAAGAAATATATACTTACTTACATCTATAAACACACACACACACACACACACACATATATACAAATATGTATATATAAATATGTGTGTGTGTGCGTGTGTGTGTATGTGTGTCCGTGTCTGTGTGTTTCTGTGTGTGTTTGTGTATATTTGTGTGTGTGTGTGTTTGTTTGCGTTTGTGTGTATATGTGTGTGTTTATGTATGTAAGTATCATCCCTTCTTTCTCCCTTCCTGTATATGTATGTGTGTGTGTGTGTGTTTGACAACCTATACGGCATAAGCATATATATTAGTCCATACAGAAGTGCAGCAATATATGCATACACTTCTATTGATGAATCTATCTCCATTACTTATTCCATCAATTACACAATACACCAAAACGCCATCGTTAGAACATCTTTAGAAAATAACCTTAAAGAACGAAACACCAATTCACATTCCTCTTCCTTAAGAGCATAGTTTTACCGAAAGGAAAATCACTTTAAACTGGAACGATTTTTTTTCCTCATAGCCATAAAATGAAAGTCGTCTGCGCCCCTTTCTCTCTCTCTCTCTTCTCTCTTTCTTTCTTTCTTTCTTTGTCTTTCTCTCTCTCTCTCTCTCTCTCTCTCTTTCTTTCTTTCTGTCTGTCTGTCTCTCTCTCTCTCTCTCTCTTTTCTCTGTCTCTCTCTCTCTCTCTCTCTCTCTCTTCTCTCTCTCTCTCTCTCTCTCTCTCTCTCTCTCTCTCTCTCTCTCTCTCTCTCTCTCTCTCTCTCTCTCTCTCTCTCTCTCTCTCTCTCTCTCTCTCTCTCTCTCTCTCTCTCTCTCTACCTGTGTGTGTGTGTGTGTGTGTTGTGGTGTCTGCATGTGTGTCTACATGTGTTATGTGTGAAATGTCTTTGAGCACGTAAAAACAGGTGAAGATGCGCCCTGAAAAAAAGGAGAGAAAGAGAGAACGAGAGAGAAAGATCCCAAGGCCAGGAAAGGTATCCTCTTCTGGAGAAAGGTCCTGCAGGGAAAAGTAACCTTCAGCCGACGTAGTAATAAGACTATGGGTCCCAAGGTCACTACCGGCGTCTGCGAGTATCCTATAGGCCTTCCTCCTGATGTCCTACCCGCCTGCAGTCGCCCATAGGCCTACACAAGAGGGCCTCGGACATATATATAAAGCCCTGTGGTGGACCGGAATTCGTCAGAGGGTCACCTGCTCGTACAGTGAACACAACAGTAAGTGGTTTTCCTTTTTCCGACGTGAAGCGGTTAGGTTCACTGTCCTGGCAAGGGATAGGGAGGCGGTGAGATGGATTTCGAATTTGGTTTTGGTGTGCTAGATATATATATATATATAAATGTAGATATAGATTTGATATAGATTTATATACATACACATCTATATACCAGCACATGCGTACATACAAATAAGCACGTTGCTTGTATGCAAGCACAAAAATATATACACATAAACACACATGTATACATATAGACACATAAGCACACATATACACATATATACACAGAAGCACATATATACACATATATACACATAAGCACACATATATACATGTATACACTGCATCCTTACATCTGCATATACACGTACAGATGCATTTACACGAGTACAAACAACCACACTACACTCACATGCACACAAGGACAAACTGCACTCACATGTACACAAGGACACACATACATATAGCAAGCACACACATACACATACATACATACACACACACGCGCGCGTACCCACACGAAGCGAGAAAAAAACTCAAGCCAAAACATCAAATCAATAACTTTTCCCTGAAGATACAAGGCTGACCATTACTTTCACACACTTTATATCAGATGAAAAGAAAAAAAAAATATTGATCGGCGAAAAAAAAAGATTAATCATAAAATCAGATTTCATTCTCACGAAATATTTGTTGAGAACCATGATGAGAGGGTGCCTTCGTGTGTACCCTCGTATTCATGTGTACATGTACGTCATCTTATCACTCAGGCAGAACCAAAAAGATGTACACACAACACCACCGGTTTAGTGGACCTTGGCACGGATTTGCTTTTATGCTATTTCCTTTTATCTTATTGCTCTTTTGTGTGAGGATATATATGTATACACTGTATATATATATATATATATATATATATATATATATAATATATATATATATATATATATATATATATATTATATATATATATATATATATATATATATATGTGTTGTGTGTGTGTGTGTGTGTGTGTGTGTGTGTGTGTGTGTGTGTGTGTGTGTGTGTGTGTGTGTGTGTGTGTGTGTGTGTGGTGTGTGTGTGTATGTGTGTGTGTGTGTGTGTGTGTGTGTGTGTGTGTGTTGTGTATGTATGTATGTGTGTATGCATATGTGTGTGTGTGTGTGTGTGTGTGTTTGCGTATCTATATACCTGTGTCTGTCTATATTGTATACCACTCTCTCTCTCTCTCTCTCTCTCTCTCTCTCTCTCTCTCTCTCTCTCTCTCTCTCTCTCTCTCTCTCTCTCTCTCTCTCTCTCTCTCTCTCTCTCTCTCTCTCTTACTCCCTCTATCCATCTACTAATTTATCTGTCTATCTCTTATTCTTATTTATCTGTGCATTTCCGCTCGTCTCTGTCTGCTTGTCTGCCTGTCTGTCGGAAACAGATTGATAGCTAGCTAGATAGGTAGACAGATAGTCAGATCAATAGATAGACAGACAAATAGGTATATAGATAGATAGAGAGAGAGATAGGTATTGGGGGAGGAGCAGCCTTGGCATGTGAACATTTATTTATTATTATTACTTCTTTTTATTTATTCATTTATTCATGTATTTATTTATTGGTATACAGACAGATCATTTAGTTTTGTGTTTGTTTTTATCTTTTGTTATCTTTAGTGCGAGGACAAAACATTTTCTTTACTTCTTTCTCTCTCTTTCTGTCACTTTGCGACAGAAAGGGAAATGTGAGGTGCCACGTCGTTTTGTTTGTTTGTTTGTTTTACTGAATATGCGTGATTGGCGATGGTACTTTCACATCAAAAGTGTACATACACACACACATACATTTAACACATGCACCCTTACACATAAACACACACACAAACACCCACACTTAAACACACACACGTAAACACACACATATACACACTCACACACACACACACACACACACCTAAAAACACACATACAAACACACACACACACACACCTAAACACACACATACAAACACACACACCACACACACATACAACACACACACCACACATACACACACACACACCTAAACACACACATACAAACACACATACACACACACATCCGTAAGGTAATCCTCCCTTACGTGTTCGTATACATTCCTTTCCCTTATTTGTACCCCTACACACCCTTTATTGCCACACTGTTACCAGCCGCGGCAACACACCCTCTATGAACGATCACCATAGTAAGCGAATACACCATAAATTCACAATACGACATAGCAATTACCATAGTAACTGACCTCACCATGGCTTCACGGTCGGTCAAAGAACAGTATGGTGTGACTCTTTGAATTATACTTTGAATGAATACCAATTTTTTTTGGTCTCTCTCTGTCTCTCTCTCGCTCTATCTCTCTCTCTCTCTCTCTCTCTCTCTCTCTTTCTCTTTCTCTCTCTCTCCTCTCTCTCTCTCTCTCTCTCTCTCTCTCTCTCTCTCTCTCTCTCTTTCTTCTCCCTCCTCTCTCTCTCTCTCTCTCTCTCTCTCTCTCTCTCTCTCTCTCTCTCTCTCTCTCTCTCTCTCTCTCTCTCTCTCTCTCTCTCTCTCTCTCTCTCTTCTCTCTCTCTCTCGCTGTCTCTCTCTCTCTCTCTCAACTTCTATTTCTATTCAACTAACAACCATTTTTCTCTACCAACCACTACTAATCTTCTTGTATAGTCAACCAAACATTCTTTTCCACTAAATAACAAAGTCTTTTACACTCTATCAACTACTAGCGCCATATATACACTCTACTACAACTACCACGCAACCACCAAGACACGCTAACTACACCATGCCACACTATGCCGTTACACCATCTTCCCGTTGTCACTTATGCCTTTCTTGCCCGCGCCCTTACCTGACCGCAAGCAAAAATGTTTTTCTCATATTTCATGCTTTTTGCATAACAAAGATAATTCTTGCAGCCTCAAGGTATTCCCATGTCTCCGTGAATAGCTGGGTATGGCATATGCAAATTAGCTTAAATGCCTATGAGTGTATACCTCAGGAATTTATTAGCATTTTATGTGATTATGTGCGTTTATTTCTTTTCTATTTATCTGTTTAGTTAATCTATTGTATATTCCTTTATTCGGATATTTGTGTGTAAATTTTTATTCTATTTATTCATACATTTATTCACTAATTCATTCATTTATACATGCATGTGTATGGCTATCTCTAATATTAGAATTCGTGAATACATAATTATCTTTATTTGCTCTATGAAAAGTTTACTGCTCCGTTGCTATTCAGTTCCCTCGCTTATCCGATCGACCAAGAATTAATACAATGTATTCACGTTCATAAAGCGATTCCAACACTAATAGATAATCTACATTTCAATCACACTGGGCATTTGAAGACCGGCATATTCATTGTGTCTCGACAAGGGCATCACTCCAACAATGACGGGGTATGAAGACACTGTCAAAGGAAAATATATTTCATCATAACACGTCAGGTATTCAGATTACACCGGCCGTGGATGCTGTGGAGATGAGAGAATGGGATGTGATTTTCTCATCTGTGTCTACTTGGCAATACTTTGAAAACCTCGGTTGGATTTGTATTTAACGATGCGTTGGAATCTCCGTCGTTTATTTCTTCTCCCTTTCTTTCTCTCTCTCTTTCTTTCTTTCTTTCTCTTTCTCTTTCTCTTTCTCTCGCTCGCTCGTTCTTCTTCTCTCTCTCTCTCGCTCGCTCTCGCTCTCTCTCTCCTTTCGCTCTCTCTCTCTCTCTCTCTCTCTCTCTCTCTCTCTCTCTCTCTTCTCTCTCTCTCTCTCTCTCTCTCTCTCTCTCTCTCTCTCTCTCTCTCTCTCTCCTCTCTCTCTCTCTCTCTCTCTCTCCCTCTCATTCTTTCTTTTCAATGTTTCTTTCTTTTCCTTTCTTTTCTTTTATCTTCTCTCAATTTATTTTTCACGGTTTACGGTCATTGTTTTTGTTATTAAAGAATAAAAATAAAAGTTGATATATGCAAATTTCTTTAGCGCATTTTGATCATTCACTGAAGCGGAAAGGGATAAGATCTTCTTCATTTTCTTCTTCTTCTTCTTTTATTTTTACAATTTCATGTTTTGTTTCCTTTATTCTATGAATTAAGATTTAGCTACCTTGTTTGAAGTCCTACTCTCTCTCTCTCTATTTATCTATCTATTTATCTGTCTATCTATCTGTCTGTCTGTCTGTCTGTCTGTCTGTCTATCTATCTATCTATCTATCTATCTATCTATCTATCTATCTATCTATCTATCTATCTATCTATCTATCTATCTATCTATCTATCTATCTCTATCTATCTACTTGTCTATCTGTCCATATACTTATCTATCTATCAACCTTTCTATTTTTTCTTTCTTTATTTATTTCGCAGATATATTTCTGACCTTTAAACAATAGACTGAACTTTGACCCAAAACTCAATATATGTCAACTGCAAAAAATTTTCTGCACCAAAATAGAGATAAAAAAAACAATATAGTTATAAACAACGTAAAATTTACATCAAAAGAAACACGAACCATAAAATAATGGCAACAAAATAGATATGAAGACCGTAATAATGATATTGATAATTAATAATAATGATAATAATAATAATAATAATAATAATATAATAATAATGATAATAAATAATATAATAATAATATATAATAATAATAATGATAATAATATAATAATAGTAATAATAATAATTATAATAATAAAAGTAATGATAGCAGTAATAATAATAATCATGGTAATATTGATGATAATATTATTAATAAAAAATGACGATGATGATGAAATGATAATAATGATGATATATTGATAATAATTATAATAATATAATAATAATAATAATAATAACAGAATAACAATAATAATAATAACAGCAATAATAATAATAATAATAATAATAATAATAATAGCAACAATTATAATGATAATAATAATAATAACAGCAACAATGATAATAATAATAATAATAATAATAACAGCAACAATAACAATAACAATAATAACAGCAACGATGATAATAAAACAACACAACCCCACATATTCGCTCGCGCGCATGACAAACAACCTCCGCTGACACCCACAACCGCTACGTCCTCTCTCACGCAGTCCTAGCAGTTTCGTCAGCCAAGGTTGAACCGAACCGCTGAAGGATGTCCTGCAATTCCTTACGGCAGATGCTGACTCATCCTCAACCCCCCCTCCCCCCCCTTCCCCTTCCCCTGCTCCCCCAGCTCCGTCCCCTCCCCCAGCTCCGTCTCCCCCCCCTGACTATCTCATCATCATCTTCAACCCCCCTTCTTCGCCTTCCTTTACTCCTTACCCATCCCTCCCCCCTCCCTTCCCCTCCGAGTCCTACGCTACCCACCGCTGTTTCTTCTTGTACTCACCCCTCCCTCCCTCCTCCCCCTCCGATCCTCTTGACCCACTTCTCCCTCTCCCGCCTCCCAATCCTACCTTCCTCCCTCCCTCCCTCCCCCCTCCTATTCTACCCATCCCCGTCCTCTTGACCCTCCCCCCCCCACCCTACCCCCGTTCCCTCCTCTCCCGCCCTCCAATCCTACCTCCTCCCTCCTTCCCCCCCTCCCCTACTCTACCCATCCTTCATCCTCTTGACCCACTTCCCTCCCCCCCCAACCCCCGTAGCCTTCCCTCTCCCGCCCTCCCAACCCGCCCTCCTACCATCCTCCCCCCCCAACCCCCGTAGCCTTCCCTCTCCCGCCCTCCCAATCTTACTCCCCCCTCCCTCCCCTCCCCACCCCCTACTCTACCCATCCTCCATCCTCTTGACCCCTCTCCCCCCCCCACCCAACCCCCGTAGCCTTCCCTCTCCCGCCCTCCCAATCCTACCTCCCATCCTCCCCCCCCCACCCCCCGTAGCCTTCCCTCTCCCGCCCTCCCAATCCTACCTCCCTCCCTCCTAATCTCACTCACCCCTCAACCCCCCCCCCCCCCAGACGAGGTCCGCGGCTGGACCATCTTCCGAGTTATGGGTTGTGTGGATCTTCTGCCTCGTCTTTCGTTCTCTTTCTTTCTTTCTTTTTATCTCTTCTTTTTCTTATTTCTTATTTTCGTTTTTTTTCATTTTCTTTTCTTTCTTTCTTTTCTTCTTATTTCATTTTCTTTTCTTTCTTTTTGTCTTCTTTTTCTTTTCTTCCCTTTTTATCTTCTTTTTCTATTTTCTATTTCTTTTTTCTTTTTTTTCCCTCCCTTTTCCTTTTTTCTTTTCTTATTTCTGTTGCTTTTTTAATTTTCTTTTTCCTTTTCTTCTTTTCTTTTGTTTCTTCCTTTTTTCTTCTTATCATCTGTGTCTTTTTTTTATTTTTGTTTCCTCCCTTTTCTTTTTTCTTTGTTTTTCATTTTCCTTTTTTTTGTGAGCGGTGTCGGGTGAAATGTGATTTTCAGAATAGGTGCTTTATCTTCTTTTCTTTATTATCTTGTTTTATTATCTTTTATTATATTTTTATTACATAACATGTTTCGTTTATTTCCTAGATTTATTTGCCATTTCACACATAAGTTTCATATGTTTACGATATTTATTTCATCATTATTATCGCCTAAAGTGATCTGTTTACGTATAAAAGACCATTCACAAGAAGATAGTTAAATAACATACTAATATCAGGTCAAAGCTAATTAACCTCTGGCCATATTTTTGTAATTAATATTCATCAATCTTCCCACACTTTTTGGTCATTTATTAATCTCCTAATTTCCACACTTACTCTCTTTATTATCACCATTTTCTTTTCTCTTTCTCCTCCCCCCATGCCAAAAAAAAAAAAAATAAAAAAAAAAAACACAAATAGAAAAGCATCTTTAAACGAAGATCCCCCCCATGCCCCAAAAAAAAAAAAAAAATAAAATAAAATAAAATAAAAAATAAAGAAAAAAATAGAAAAGCATCTTTAAACGAAGATCCTTGGAAGAAAAACATCAACTTCTTTACCATTCTGAACGTATATGCTAATCGGAGGGTTCTCACGCGGAACGAGCGGACACGAGGCAGAAGGGCAGCGCGTCAAATAGCAACAGGAACGCCACGGAGTCCTTCACATAGCGCTAAACAGGAGTTGGGATGCGAGGTGTTCCTCCCACGTGTTATGGAGAGGTGTGTGGTGTGTGCGGTTCGTCTGGCGTAGACGTTGGGACGCCTTGGCTCGTCTGATGGCGGGGTTTGGCTCCTCTGTGTGGGACTCTTGGTCATCTTGAGGTCTTGTAGGCTCACGCCTTGCTCGTCTGATTTTGGCTCTGGGACGTCTTTCTTGAGTCTTATTCATCTTAGCTGGAGGACGTTGGGACGCCTTGGCTCGTCTGATGGCGGGGATTTTGGCTCCTCTTGTGTGGGACGTCTTGGGTCCGTCTGCGGAGGTCTTGATTCATCTTGTCCTGGATGCTTTGGCCCATCCTGTGGAGGACGTGTTGGTTCAGACTGCGGAGGATGGGTTACCCAGATCTTGCTAAAGGCTTTCTTTGCTCCATCCGCAGAGGATCCTTATTCATTCTTTACGTCTTGACTCATCCTGCAGAGGACTCCTTAGTTCATTCTTTAGAGGACGTCTTGACTCATCCTGGCGAGGACTCCTTGCTTCACACCGCAGAGGTACGCCTGAGCTCGTCCTCGCACCGAAGACGCCTCAACAGGATTCCTAAAAAGGGCTCCGGCGCGTCCTTGGCGAGGTCGTGCCGGGGCTGTTATCTCCCTCCATCGGCTGCTCATCTCGGCGGATGTTTTCCTGTCCTTTACGGCCGAACGGCATCTCGGCGAAGCCCCATTCCCAGACTTTCTCTGGAAACCTTGACATCTCTCCGAGGCGTTCCGTGTCCGTTGCGAGTCGAACATGTGTTACTTATCATGCTTCCATTTTCCTGAGATCTCTCCATTGTCGTTACACTCACGCGGAACGTAATTGTACCCGGGGGATTTTTTTCTCTCTCGCCTTACATCTGTTTTTGTTGTTTGCTTTTTTTTCTTTTCTTTTTTATGAGCACCAGTCAAGCACTCCGTCCTCGGAAGCGCCCGGGATGCATGCAGACGCCCCTCCTCCCCGCGCAGCAATCACGTCGGGCCACGACCTCCCGCCTCCAGCCTCCTGCCGCCCCCGCGCTAATGCCTCTCCCCCTCTCCCCCCCAGAGCCGCCCACCGCCACCCATCCTCCCGCCGCCGCCATGAAGGTCTTCGCCGCCGCCGCCCTCCTGTGCCTCGTCGCCGCCGCCTCCGCCCGCATGGCCTACCAGCTGCCTGCCGACGCCGTGGCTCTCGTCCGAAGCGGCGTCAGGGAGGTCTTCTCGTGCCAGGGCCGCGCCTTCGGCTACTACGCCGACGTGGCCAACGACTGCAGGATCTTCCACGTGTGCCAGCCCATCGCCGACGAGGAAGGCCAGGTGAGTCACGCGGGGTTTATGGCGGGCGGGTCACGAGGCTGCCGAATGAGCCTATTAGCCGGTCGTAGGCCTAGGCGACGCTTGGGAACTCCCGAGGTGTCGAGCGTCGCCAGTAAATAACGTATAGATGTCAGATGATGCACGGATAGGCCTTCGGTGTCATAGCTCGTTCTTGGTTGGGCGGATGAGATTATAAGCCTTCATCAAATCTTATGGACGTAGATAATTGAAATCTATCCTTAAGTCGATTCTCCGAAGCAATTATCTAATCATACGAAGGTAAATTTCCGATTTCTGCCCTTGTCTGCAATCGTGTATAGATAATCAAAAGGCATGATCGCCCAAACCCCCATTATTTTGAAAGTTCACACCAGGAAGGCATTCAATCCACCCTTTTCCCGCCAACGCTCTGCTCATCCCTGTCATTAAACCCGCTTATAAAAACCCCCTCTTCCTTATACTCTTCAGTCTCTTACCAACCTTGATCGGGTGCGTGCGTGTCGATCGCCATAACCCCATTAGCATTATCAATAAAGATTTAGCGAATGGTGTACCTTGATGACGGTTTTATCCAGGTTAAAAGTAATTAAAGGCGGTGATTATAATCTATAGCCCTCATTTCGCTCCGCCCACGTCAGGCTACGTCACGAATTCCTCTTTTTTTTGAAGTCGATAAGTCCGTTACGACCGTTTTTTTTGTTCTCTCTCTCTCCATCCCTCTCATTTTCTCTTTCTTTCAGCCTTTTCAGTGCCTCATTTTGACTTAAATGTTATGTTTATAGGAGAAAAAATTACTACTTGTTTTTTTCTTCTTCTTAAGGAGAGAACTCGTTTTGGTTTTAAACTTTGATATTTTATTAAGTAAGAGAGAAATCTTTTAAACATTATACTTACTATAACTATTTCAGCATTTCATTGAAGTTACTACATTTAAAGTCTTACTGCTTCAGGTCTTGAGTATTGCACATTTATTTGTTATTTGGAGAATTTCTGCATCTTGCTTCCATTCTCATCTTTGTCTGTCTGTTTATATGTCCTTTCTCTCTCTCTCTCTCTATCTATCTATATATATCTCTCTTTCATATCTATCTCTATCTGTCTATTTCTCTCTTCTCTTTCTCTCTATCTATCTCTATCTGTCTATTTCTCTCTTCTCGTTCTCTTCTTTGATCTTCTCTTCTCTCTCTCTCTCTCTCTCTCTCTCTCTCTCTCTCTCTCTCTCTCTCTCTCTCTCTCTCTCTCTCTCTCTCCTCCTCTCCTTCACTCCCCGTCCCCTCTCTCTCTTCACCACTCATCTCTTCCCCAATCCTCTCTCCTCCTCTTCCCCCCTTCCAACCCCAACCAACCCCTTCACGCCCCAACCAACCCCTTCCCCCCCCACCCCCAAACCACCCCCTCCACACCCCAACCAACCCCCTCCCCTCCACGCCCCCAACCAAACCCCCTCCAACCCCCAACCAACCCCCTCCAACGCCCCCAACCAACCCTTCCACGCCCCCAAACCCCCTCCAGCCCTCCAACCCCCGTACCACCCCCAACCAACCCCTCCACGCCCCTCCAACGCCCCCCAACCAACCTCACCGACCCCCTCCTCCACCCACAGGAGCTGGAGATGGCCCACTTCTCCTTCATCTGCGGCAACCAGACGGTGTTCAACCAGGAGGCCCTCACCTGCACCCACCCTGAAGACGCCTTCCCCTGCACCGAGGCTGAGACCCTCTTCGATATCACCAATTCCGAATTTTTCAGAATCCCTGAAGAATCTAATTAAGAATAGTAATATAAAAAAGATATATACGTTAAAAAAAGATGTCTTTATGTTGGTAAGACATTGGGTTGTCTTTCTTGATCTCTGTGAGCTGATGCAGTACAGTGTATTGGTCGGTTCATTTTTTTTTTTTAATATGAGTATTATTTTTTTATATAAATCTCATTTGACACCAAAATCTGTTAATAAATTGTTACACGTAAACATATTTCTTAATTATCCTAAGAATTTACCTTTCGTGATTCTAAGGAAAATGAGATTACAAAACAGAATTCAAGGAAATCATAATGTACACCTTTTTTTTCATCAATAAAATTTGAAATATGATGTACAAAGTGAATTAACAATCAAAACCACTGTTTATCGACGCAACTCTACCTTTGCCTTAGTGAAAATCATATAATTTACCATCAATGGTAATAATTACTTTAAGAAGGATTTACTGATTACTGTAAGAATGATAAAAATGATAATGATGATAATGGTAATGATAATAAGGACGACGACGATAACAGTGATAACAAAGATTACAATGATAGAGATAACAGTAATGAACATGACAATAATGATAACAATAATAATAGTTATGATAATAAGGTCGCTTGTATATGTATATATGTGTGTGTGTATGTGTATCTATCTATATATATACATATTTATGTGTGTGCGTGTGTGTGTATGTATGTATGTATGTACGTATTGCTGTATATATGTGTGTGCACATATATGTATGTGTGTCTTTTTTATGTATGTATGTACGTATGTATGTATATATGTATTTGTGTGTGTATGTGTGTATGTTGTATATATATGTATTTGTGTGTACATATATGTGTGTGTGTGTTTTTATATGTATTATATTAATATATATAATATATATATATATATATATATATATATTATATATATATATATTTATATTTATATATGTATGTGTACATATATAAAAATATATATATATATATATATATATATATATATATATATATATATATAGAGAGAGAGAGAGAGAGAGAGAGAGAGAGAGAGAGAGAGAGAGAGAGAGAGAGTGAGAGTGAGAGGAGAGAGAGAGAGAGAGAGAGAGAGAGAGAGAGTGAGAAAGAAAAGAGGAAGAGAGAGAGGAAAGAGAGAGGAGAGAGAGAGAGAGAGGAGAGAGAGAGAGAGAGAGAGAGAGAGAGAGAGAGAGAGAGGGAGAGAGAAGAGAGAGTGAGAGACAGACAGAGAAAGAGAGAGAGAGGGACAGACAGAGAGCGGGGGAGGGAGATATAGATAGAGATAGAGAGAGAGAGAGAGAGAGAGAGAGAGAGAGAGAGAGAGGAGGAGAGAGAGAGAGAGAGAGAAGAAGAGAGAGACAAAGAAGAGGGGAGAGAGGGAGATAGAGAGAGACAGAGAGAAGAGAGAGAGAAGAGAGAGAAGAGAGAGTGAGACAGAGACAAAGAAAGAGAGTGAGAAAGAAAAAAAAGAACCATTAACCTATATATACTGCATGCATTACATACATCAGTATATCCTCACATACTTCTAGCAATAAAAAAGAGAGAAAAAAAAACAGTATTAGAAAGTGAAAATGATTTATCAGTAGGTTAATGCTATCACTATCGCCAACACAACTAACATCATCTTCATCTTCACTGCATATGCACCGTGTGTATTGCAACCACATAGAATTCGTCATGAAAAAGGAACTATTTCAAACACCTTGAACATAGAGACACAGCAACATGTGTTGGGTAACAGAGTGTATCGAATGGTACAGCAAGACAGGTATATGAAAACACACATTGGAAAATGAGGGAAAATATGTATAAATATATTTTTTTCATATTGTTTATTTATTATATTTGTTGTTTAAGGCGTGTTTATGATGCGCGAATTGTTTTTATCAAAATTTAGAGAATTTCAAATTGCGTAAATGTTTTTTTTTATTGTGGAATATCATCAAAATAATAACAAAAAGATATGAATAAGCTATAATGTTTTTATTTTATTTTATTTATTTTTTAATTCAAAATAGACATGTGCCTAATAAAGATCGAAGTGTGGTCAGAACTTGTAAAATAATGATAATCCTATAAATGATGATTAAAATAATAATGTTAATAACAATACTGATAATAGTGATATCTATTGTCATCATATATAATAATTAAACTAACAATAATGATAACCGTAAAACATTTCTGGCCCTTTCCCATTACA